CTACTACTACTACTACTACTACTACTACTACTACTACTACTACTACTCTACTACTACTACTACTACTACTACTACTACTACTACTACTACTACTCCTGTTGCTACTGCCACTGCTACTGCTACTGCAGAATTCAATCATGCTTTAAGCAATGGTTCCAATGGTTCTCTACCTAGAGAAAACGGGGCATGCATGTTTGCCTAGAAAATGGTTCCGGCCATGACAAAAAACCCTCTAGACAATCCAAGGCATTCTAGGAAGTAGTCAAGGATTCATTGTCTCATCGTCATGCTTTCGTGCATCTCGAGAATGATATAATATATGGTTTTGGACAGGTTGCACTGTGAATGGAATAGGCCAAAGAAACAATATAAAGCAGTTCATTTTCTAGAGGGCGCTGCGCCAGACCTGAGAATAACAATTTCCTAGATTCTTAGAGATTCTCAGATTCTTGGCTCGCAAGTTTTTACAAGGATAAAATCCCAAGATTCCTAAGGCGGATGATTTTGGCATATCAACCATTGAGTGGGCACAGGGCTTGTCAGCAAGTCATCAATCTCGAGAATCGGACCAGCTATGCCTGTAGTTTAGCGTGCTTATATTCCACGTGTGAATCGCTCGCTGAGCGATGTGTTTCGTTCGATCGACAGACCCCGAACCGCTCTAGCTGGGCGGGCTCAAATCGAGTAAAACCGGCGCGGTGCGGCGTTTCGACGCCACCTTTGCTTTTTCGTGGTTCCGGACCTCGTTTGCTGGAACGCGTTCGCTACATTGGTAGCGGAGCCCTGTGAAGGGGCTCCGCTGCGCACTTCGCGACGACGAGCCGACGGTTTGGGATAAGACCAGGGTCAAGAACGGTTCGAAGAGCTCTTTGTGTTTGCCTCCACCTTTGCTTGGTTTCGTGCACTGGCTACCTCAACACCCCAACCACCAAGCAGGTGATTGAAGAGCTCTCACCCTCCGGCTCACGAGATGGTGGAGGCGGCTACACGGATTTGAGAGATAGCTATGTTCCCACCTTCTCAGGCCAACCGGCCGACTACAGAGAATGGTGCCAGCGGATCCATCTTTATCATCGCAAGATGATGCTCGCCAAGAGAGGCAACGAGTCTGTCCTGAACATCGTTGGATCCTTCCAAGGAGTCACCTGGAGACTCTTCCAGGATTGGAGCCTCGAGGAGCTGGAGAAGGAATCCTCCTTCGACCGCATCATTGCTACGTTGGATGCAAACTTCCAATACGATGCCCGAGTGCAGTTGCCCAACGACTTTGAGGGCTACTTCAACCTGCTCCAACGTACAAGCGGCCAGACTCTGTTGATGTTCGTGGCCGACCACGAAGAGGCCTATACAGGAAGCTCCAACAGCGCAAGGTCGAACTTCCGGCCTCAGTTCAGGGCTGGCATTTGTTGAGGCCCGCTTCCATCTCCAAGGAACAGCGCCAGATGGTGACGCTGAAGGCCCCAAGTTTGGAAAGGAAGGACGTGATTGAGGCCCTCTACTTGCTGCTAGGTCAAGACTTCAAAGGAGGAACCTGGCCTATGGATCGCAAGCGATTCGGCTATGCCCCATGGCGCAACAACAGAGCCTACATGGCCGAAGACTATGATGATGAAGAGCCATGGGAGTCAGGTTACTATGAAGGTGATTGGATTGAGGAACCCACCTATGCCTCCTACGAGGACTATGACCATGAGCCTGAGGAGCCCGAAGAGTTCGAGAATGAAGCAGGCTACTATGGTGATGAACAATGGCCTGATCCCGACTCCGAGCCTGTCAGCCCTCAACACATGGCTGAAGAGTACGACCACGCCTTTGCCTCGTACACAGACGCTCGGAAGCGGTTCCAAGAGTTGAAGATGGCCAGAGGATATCTTCCGGTGGTAGCTTTGACTGAAGGCTCACAAGTGCCAGTGTCTCCGGCATCCAATGCTACCTCATCACCCTCTTCCTGGCGCTCCAAGGGGAAAGGAAAAGGGGGCACCAAGTCTGGCAAATTAAAAGGGCAAGACGACAATTCGTTACCCACCTCAAGGTGCTGGCAAAGCTGATCCCAAAGGAAGAGCTCGTGCAGCACTCACCTTTTTGAGATGCGGCCAACCTGGCCATTGGGCAGCCAACTGCCCACAAGGTGCAAGCAGCTCAGCTTCCAAAGCTGGAACGAAGAGGCCCGCTCCGACTGAAGGCATGGCTTTTGCAGTTCAACCCGAAGAACTTGCGCTCCTCACCTTCCAGGACGCCTATGGCCTGGAGCGACCTGATTGCGCTATGTTGGATCCCGGTGCGAGCGCATTCCTGTCAGGTTATGGTCCTTTTCGCAAGCTGCTGGAGCACTATGAAGATCTCGGATATCCCACCGACCTCATCAAGATGACAAAAGGCCGGAGACGATTTCAGTTCGGTGGGGATGCATCTCAATGGTCCGACTGGAGCGCCCATCTCCCGGTCTTTGTGGATGGCAAGTACGGGACAGTTGAAGTGTTCTTGCTGCCGGGCAACACGCCCTTGCTTTGCGGAAGACCCATCATCGAAGCCTTGGGTATGACAATGGATTTCGCCAACAAGAGGCTCAAGATTGGCGGATCTCCGTGGCAGCCGGCCACACTTGGTCGTCAGGGCGAATATCTGTGGCCTCTCACCTTCGAGCACGACTTGATTGAATATGACCCCGACAAGCCACAGTTTGAGCTGAAGACCAACGACCCTGATGTGCACCAACAGGACGGCTACTTTCTCCCGGACTTCGTCAAGCACAGTTTCCAAGTCCATGATGGACATGTGACAAAGGAGGACCAGACAAATCGAATCAAAGGTCAACTGCTGAAGACCATGGACGTGCACCTGACCAACATCAACGGCATGTCTGCCTATCTCACTCAAGAACTACATCGACCACCAAGACCAAGAGTTCTATGGGAAGTGTACTGTGGAAAAGCCCGCACTTCTGAGATGGCAGCCGTCTTTGGCATGGAAACCAGGCAGTTCTCGTTGGACACTGGTTGGAACTTCAACTCCATCGACCACCAACAGCAGTTCCTGACCTCCTCGATGATGAGATGCCCGAAGAACTCTTGCTCACTCCGGTTTGCAAGCTCTGGTCTCGCGCGCAGTCACTTGGCCGGAGGACACATCATCAGCAAGAAGCCCTGGTCGCTGCTCGCCAATGGCACCATGATCGGCACTTGTGCTTCGTTCGTGAGGCCTATCTTCG